ATATTCTTTTAAAGATTTTATTTATGGAACGCCTGGGTGGCTCAGCAGTTGAGCATCTGCCTTTGGCTCAGGGCATGATCCCTGAGTCCCAGGATCAAGTCCCACGTCGGGCTTCCTGTGTGGAGTCTGCGTCTCCCTCTGCCTGTGTCTCTGCCTCTCTCTCTGTGTGTGTCTCTCATGAATAAATAAATAAAATCTTAATTTTTTAAAACAATATTTTATTTATTCATTTGACTCCCCTTATTTTAAAATACTCTTTTTTTCCTTTTTTAAAATTTTTATTTATTTATGATAGCCACAGAGAGAGAGAGAGAGAGAGAGAGAGAGAGAGAGAGGCGCAGAGACACAGGCAGAGGGAGAAGCAGGCTCCATGCACCTGGAGCCCGACGTGGGATCGATCCCGGGTCTCCAGGATCGCGCCCTGGGCCAAAGGCAGGCGCCAAACCGCTGCGCCACCCACGGATCCCATCTTAAAATGCTCTTATATGGGGGTGCCTGGGTGGCTCAGTCAGGGAAGTGCCTACCTTCCATCTCAGGGTCCTGGGATCAAGCCCCATGTCAGCCTCCCTGCTCAGTGGGGAGTTTGCTTCTCCTTCTACCTGCCCCCTGCTGCTCGAGCTCACTCTCTTTCTCTCTCAAATAAATAAAATCTTAAAAAAAGCAAAATAAGTGGGGGCCATGAGTGCCCATTCTTCGAGTTCGGAACAACCATGGCCCCAGGGCTGTGGCCTGTGATTCACTGTATTGAGACACACGTATGCACTTGACCGTTGCAGCCGTTGCATTGTGTGCAGTTCAGGGGCGTTAAGCGCATTCACGCCGCTGTCGGCCACCACCACCACCGTCCACCTCCAGGACTCTCTCATCTTTCCAGATGGATGCTCTGTCCCCACTAAACCCTGACCCCACCCAGACCCTGGCGTCCACCATCTACCCTGTGTCTGTGAGTCTGCCCATGGCTCTGGGGCCCCCAGGTCAGTGGAGTCACGTGGTGTCTGCTGATGACCAGCTCCCTCCCTCAGCATCATGTCCTCGGGGCTCATCTGGGTCATGGCAGGTGTCAGAAGTTCCTTCCTTCTGAGGCTGAACCATAGTCCATTCTAGGGATGGACCCCGTTTTGTTCATCCTTCATCCTGGACACGTAGACAGTTCCCCGCTCTTGGCTGTGGACAGTGGTGGGCTGGAGCTTCTCTGTGTGGACAGTGTGTTCCTGTGGGATGTGAACTGTGGGACGGATCAGGCACATCAGGCCCATTTTATAAACTGGTCTATGAACTTTTCAAGAACCCATTAAAAGGTCTGAGACCGGAAAGTCTCTGTTTTTATTTTTTAAAGATTTTATTCATCCATTCATGAGAGACATAGAGAGAGAGGCAGAGACACAGGCAGAGGGAGAAGCAGGCTCCATGCACCGGGAGCCCGACGTGGGATTCGATCCCGCGTCTCCAGGATTGCGCCCTGGGCCAAAGGCAGGCGCCAAACCGCTGCGCCACCAAGATCCCTTGAAGTTCTTTTTAAAAGGTAAAAAGTAAAGGACTAATGCCATGGTTTGTGCCAGGTCCAGGGGCTTCTCTCTTCTCTCTTCCTCTGTGTCTGTCATTCTCCAGCGACTGCGGATCAAATGGGCCCAGAGTTTATGCTACTGCATCTCCTTTGAAACCAATTAGCAAACTTGCGAATGAAATGCTCTAGCAGTGCTTTTGTTGTGTGTGGGCCACAGTTTATTGCAGATAAACTGAAGTATAAAATTATAGAAAACCCAAAACGCAGACAGGTGATGTATCCTGTGACTTGCTATTTTTGCTAAGAAAACTATAAGTGGTGCTAACCTCCTCTTGCCTTTCTGAGATGTCTTGTGTTGCTGAATTTGTCCTTACGGGAATTTGCATTTCACACTGGCAACAGGTAATTCCTGGATATTTTTGTGGAGGAGAAATGATACTGTGCTGACACATACTGTAATCACTCCGGGGAAGATGCTGTCATTGGTTGTTCAGACCAGCAAGTGCTCCTGTGGGTGTGAGATGAGTGGGAGGTAAACCAGAGTCACCGTGGCCCCCTCCCTGATGCTTGCTCCCCTACCCCAGCACCTCTGCCTGGCTCTGGCTCCAGTCTCCTCACGACCTTCCTACCATTGGAGTCTGCCCCCATCGAGGCGTCACCGGGCAGCCCTGTGCCCTCTCCACCATCTTGCTCTGCTCCCAGGCTGTCCTCCTCCATCTATGTCCTCTCCGAGCACGTAGGCCCCCGTGTGTCTGCCTTTCTCCTAGGGGGATTCTGTGTTTCTGAGTACGGGCCAGCCCAGGGGACAGCTTGTCTTGCAGTTGGGGGTGATCCCGGCCTCAGGACCTGAACAGTCTGGGAAGCTTAGCAAACAGAATTCCACTGTGCTTTGCAGCACACGTGACCCCAGCAACGAACTAAGGGGTAAAATGAGCATGGCTTCACTGGAATCATCTGGAAACCACACCAGTGGGACTGTGGGAACCCACCTCTCACCTCATAGACAGGGAAACAGGGTCCAGAAAGGCTCAGCTGTCCCTCACAAGTCCCCACAGTGAATGAGGGAACCTGGGATGGGCACACCAAGGTCTGAGTTTGAGACTCCAGGGCCTAGGCTTGGGGGCTGGCAGTCCTGAAGGGAGCCCTGCCACGGGTGCAGGAAGACAAATTCCAGGAGAGGTTCTGGAATGTGGACGAGGGGGCGGGGAGAGCATAGGCCTGGGGTAGAGGTTCAGAGTTGAGTTGGGGGGGCACCCAGTCCTGCACCACAGGGCTTTGGGAGACAGCGTGTGGGGGTTTTGAGGCATCAGTGTCAGAACGCTTCCCAAGGCTCCGACCTCTGGAAGGTATCGGAAAGAATGGGGGGAGAAGGCTGATGGACTCCAGGTTGTACTATGGATGATGGATTGCTCTGGAACTAGAGAGAGGAGGTGGTTGTGCAACATTAAGAATGTACTACATGGAGGTGCCTAAGGGGCTCAGTCAGTGAAGCATCCAACTCAGTTTTGGCTCTGCCCGCATTGGGCTCCACACTCAGCAGGGAGTCTGCTTGGGATGCTCTCCCTCCCTCTTCCTCCTCTGCTCCTCCCTGCACTTGCTCTCCGTGCTCGTGCTCTCTCTCTCTCCAAGTGAATAAATGAATCTCAAAAAAAAAAAAAAAGAGGGCAGCAGCCCAGGTGGCTCAGTGGTTTAGCACCACCTTCAGCCCTGGGTGTGATCCTGGAGACCTGAGATCGAGTCCCACGTCAGGCTCCCTGCATGGAGCCTGCTTCTCCTTCTGCCTCTCTCTCTCTCTCTCTCTCTGTGTGTCTCTCATGAATAAATAAAATATTTATTAAAAAAGAAAGAAAGAAAAAGCACCAAATGCCACTAAATTGTTCATTCTCTTTTTAAAAATTTTAAAAAGGTATGTATTTGAGACAGAGAGTGTGCATGTGAGAGAGCACGAGTCAAGGAGTGGCTGAGGCCGAGGGAGAAGCAGACTCCCCAGTGAGCAGGGAGCCTGATGTGGGGCTCCCTGAGGTCATGACCTGAGCTGAAGGCAGACACTTCACTGATTGAGCCACCCAGGCGCCCTGAATTGTTCACTTTCAAATGGTTGACTTTATGTCATGTGACTACCACCTCAATTAATTGAGAGAGAGCGTGCCCTTGTGCCACGCAGGGGGAGGGGCTGAGGGAGAGGGAGAACCCCAAGCAGTCTCCCTGCTGAGCGCGGAGATAGGTACAGAACTCGACCTCGCAACCCTGAGATCACGACCTGAGCCAAAACCAAGGGTCAGATGTCTCACTGACTGAGCCACCCAGGTGCCCCAATATCACTTTATTTTGAAAAATAAAAGAATGAGAGGCAAAAATGAGATCCAAACTGTCAGCTTTATGGATGACCAGGCAACCAGCCAAACGCCTTCAGGTGGGTGCAGCTCAGGCTCCGATCTGAGGCTAACCTGGGATCCTAACCCACAGGCAGGACAGGAGAGTCACCTGCGCCCACTTCCCCAACCTGCAGGTGCCCCTCCCCGCCCTCACACAGCACGATTGCGATTGCGGGGCAGGTACTGCCTACCTGTGGGGGAGACAGGAGCTGGACTGAGCAGGGAGCTCAGCAGTGAGGCTCTCAGGGGCCCTGGGTGCTCTCTAACACCAGAGAGCTTCCTGTTCCACTCAGAGACTCAGAAATCAGTTCCTGGAGAAAGGGATGTTGAAAATTCGTTTTCCATTCAATGATAGAGATTTGCTATCAAGGCATAGAAGACACAGGGAGGAACCTTAAGTGGGCATTGGTGAGTGCAGGAAGCCAGTCTGGTCTGGAAGGGCTGCATTTGGATGGTTCCAACTCCAGGACATCGGGGACCAAAGAAGATGCCCCCCAATCCGTGGTTGCCAGGGTGTCGTGGGCAGGAGGAACAGGTGCAACCCTCTGTGTGCTGATGTGCTGGCATTTGTCCAACACACAGGACATCCAGTACCTGGAGCAAGCCTCGGCAGCAGTGGCCTTGGGGTTGTAATAATCGCCCGCGTGAGTTAATATGACGGAAACAGGCACGGGGCGCGGGCTCTATGGGAACTCATCGTGCCTTTTTTTTTTCTAAGATTTTAAATAAATATTTATTCATGACAGACAAAGAAAGAGAGAGAGAGAGAGAGATCGGGAGAGACACAGGCAGAGGGAGAAGCAGGCTCCATGCAGGGAGCCCGACGTGGGAATCGATCCCGGGTCTCCAGGATCACACCCCGGCGGAAGGCGGCGCTAAACCGCTGAGCCACCGGGGCTGCCCTCACCGTGCTTTTTGCACAATTTTTCTGTAAACTTAAAACTGCTCTAGAAAATATCATCTATTGACTTTTAAGAATTTATTTTGCCAAAAAAAAAAAAAAAAAGAATCTATTTTGCAAGAGAAAGATTGGGCAGGGGTGGGGGAAGGTTGTGGGTGCCCACCCGGGGGGCTGTGGGGACAGGGTTGGCTGTCTGGGGCGCTGGGCAGCCGTGAGCCCAATGGCGTGTGCTGGGCATCTGGTCTTGCTGCTCCTCCTGCTGCCCACATCCATGGCCTGGAGGACCAGGATCCCGTTCCCGTCCCATAAGGTAAGTGTACACCCCACAGCGTTGCACCAGCGGAGGCGCCCCCCTCACGGGCTCTCTGGGGCTCCCAGCTCCTTTCCTGCAGGTGCACGCCCCCCATCCACCGAGTCTCATCTGGGCTCTTGAAAAGGAGGGTACCTGGGAGCACGTCCCCTTCCCCAGGCATTTGGGCATCCAGAAAGCCTGATTCTGGTGCCCAGGACTGCGACACCAAATCCAGGCCAGACGGCATGTGGAGGAGGTGGGTGGGGGCAGAGCAAGGGTCTGTACTGGGAGGGGTGCGGGCAACACGGGCGCGCCCGTCCTGCTGGCCCTCCTCACCTCCCTGCTGCACTTGGTGCTCAGCCTGCTGGAGGCCGCACTGAAAACAGGGCAGCTGGCGTCTGGCCTGGCCGCAGGGCTGAGCTGCCTCCTCTGGCCGCTTCTCACCGCAAAGCCGCCTCGCCCCCATCCCTGAGTGCCTTCCCCAGCTTCAGTGGCACTAAGATCTTCAAAACCAAACAAATTTCTCCCGCGTGAAAACGCGAGGAGGCGCAGCCCCATGTGCTCCGGGGCCCTGGGCCCACCAGCCCTGTAGGGAGACCCCCGAGCTCCGTTGGGTGCTGCTGACTGTGTTCCGGGCTCTGCCCTGCATCCCCCTCCCCTGGGGCGTGGGCAAGTGTGTGAGGCCCCTCCCCATGCTACAGGGCCCCCCACCTCCAGCAGCGGACCACGAGGAGGCAGGTAGGAAGTGCTGTACTCAGGGTGCAATGGCACCACTCTGTGCTCAGCACATTTTGTTTTGCTTTGGAAAATATACCTGTTTTTCTTTTAAAAGTTGCTATTTATGTCAACAATGGGCGAGGATACTACTTTTAAGTAAGTTTATGCAAAGCTTCTCTCAGAGTTAGTGCCTACGCCGGAAAATTCAGTGGGTAGAACCCACACCAACAACAGTTTTGGGGCCCTTAGTAACTTTTTGAGTTTGCAAAGGAATTTTGACACCAAAAGTTTGAGAACTTTAATCAAAGGTTTTGAGAGCAGGTGGCCTCCGGGGGGTGGGGTGGGGCCCCAGACACAGCTCTGGGCTGGCTCTGTGACCCCAGGAGGCACCTGCCCTCTCTGAGCCTGTAAAGCCATGAGAGACAGTCTCCTTCCTGCCCTGCTCCTCCTTCACTCGTCTTCTGTACCTCAGTTTACCCTCCTGTCCAGGTAGCTCACGAGATACAGACCGTGTTAGCTCCCTTCCTCTCCCTTTCCTTTGGCTCCCCCAGCCATCTGACCCACCAGGTGGGAAATATTCCAGGAAACTTGAAGGAACACAGAGAGAAGGGGACAGTGTTCTTACGTTGAGCCGCCCTGGAGGGAAGCTGAGTCTATATATCACCTGGTGCTCGGCCTTGCAGGGGATTGGGGAAGCCTGCGAGGGTCACTCAGAGTGCCAGAGCCACTGCTGCGTCACCAATAGCCTGAACCCGCGGAAATTCTGCACTTCCAGGACCATCTTCCTCAAGTGCTTGTCCTGGCAGAAGGTGTGTTGGAGCAGGGTGGCCAGGGTGAGGAGCCACCCTGGGAGCGGGGAGGGTGGCTAGTAGAGAGACCCAGGTCTCCATTTCCTGGTAGCCCAATAGCCACACCTGCTCTGAACACTCGGAGTGCCAGAGCAACTGCTGTGTCACCACCAATGACAGCATGAAGATGTTCTGCAAGCCCAAGACTATCTTCCTACAGTGTATACCTTGGCGCAAGGTGAGCCAAAAGATGAGCCGCGACAGGTAGGGGCAAGGCGAGAGTGGGGGGCAAGTGCCAGGCTCCTGCTCTGCATCCCCAGCCCAACGGGCACGACTGCACTGACCACACCGAGTGCAGAAGCCAGTGCTGCATCAGGCCGAATGAGGTCAGCCACCGCCGGTGCGTCCCCCGGAGTGGGCTCCTGGCCCAGTGCCTGCCCATGGTGAGTCCCCTTCACACGTGAGATGGAGGTGCTTCCCGCAGGAGGGAGCCTTCATTTGCCTGAGGCCCTGCAGCGAGTAAACATGGCTCTGTCTCCAAACCCACTGGTTGTCCCCCTCCAGGAGAGGCGGCCACCTGCTGTCTGGAGATTGGCCTCCATGTCCATTTCCTTGAGCAGGAAAGTATGGGTGAGGCCCCAGAAAAGCAAACAGGTCATGGGCAGAATGAGGTTTGCAAGTCTGCCAGGGTTCCAGTAGGAAACATGTGCCGCCTGCCGTTGGATGTGTGGCGGGGTGGTGAACCCAAGGCACCAGGCGGCATCAGGATTTGCAACAGTGGGGCTGAGGGGTCCCAAGTGGGGGTCTCTCCAGAGCTGCTCTCTCCTTCTACCCTACCTCCTTCTGGACCTTTGTGATACCTGAACAGTAACTAGAAAACCAGAAGGACGGAGGTCAAGTGATGCAGCCCCAGAGGTCAGCCTCCTAGGGCACAAGACATGCATAGTGCCCTGGAGACCGCGGCAGCAGGCATGCGGGGACATGGGCATGGGCAGATGAAGATTGGGGCTGGGGGTCAGAGTCAGGGTGATGGTGGTAGAAACATGGGAATAAAGATGGGGGGACAGAGGTGGGAGTGTCAGAGACAGTGGGAGGATGGGGGGTGGGTTTGGGAGACAAAGGAACAGATGGCAATGCGGAGGGTTGGAGATGGCAAGGGGGTTGCTGACAGAACACACGGGGACAGTGCCATGTGGGTGCTTAAGTACATGGTTTGATGCTGGAATCTGAAACTTCCTTCAGGTCATAAAGGGGTCTGTGCTCCCACAGGTCAAGGACCACATATTTGAGCACGTAACCGTGTCTAGCCAAGTGTGGTATCAGCTCCTATGCTAGCACCAGGCACAGCAGGTGCTCACGGAAATGTGTTAAATGCTGGATGCCTCCTGCCGCCCTTGCCCCGGGGGAACTGAACGCATCGGTGAGGACGGGACGGGACAGCCGCTGGAGCCTTGCGGGCCCCATGTCCCACAGTCAGGGACACCAAGCTGCACTGAAGGGCCAGCATGGACCTGGGGCAAGCTCACCCTGGGTGTCATGCCTGAGTTTCACTGGGAGCTTGGCGGGTGGCTCAGAGCTGCTCTCTCTCTGGGCTGTGAAAGCTTGTAGGTACCAGACACATATGTCCCCTCTCCCAGTGGTGAACTCCCGAGGCCAATAGTGGGAAGTGTCTCTGCGGACAAATCACAGCCACTGGAACGCGCAGCTTAATGACTTCGCATCAATAAACACCGCTGACCGGCTGAGCGTGTTTTGTCACTTCCATTTCCCCCCAGACAAAACAAAGGTAAGAAAAACAATCCGGGATTCCTGAGAAGGTGAGTCTAGTCTGAGAGCAAGTCCTAACTGGAAGGGAAAGAGCCGGAGCTGCAGCGTTTAAGGCGCCGTGACGAGCCTGCCCAAGCACACAGCCTCTAGTCCGTGCAAGTCTATTCATTGTTCCAAACTGGAACGGCTCCCTAAGCTTTGCTGGCGGATGTGAAACACGGTGTAAGGGCACATTGGCGCCGAGGACTCCCTGGAGGGACACCTGCTTCCCTGGGTCACTTCTCCTTCCCCCTTTGGCCTGAGTTTATGCAGCATCTCCTGGAGCAGATGCCCCAGCTGACTGAGACCCCATCCCCACCAGCGGCGTCTTGGTGTTCCCAGTCCCTAGGACCTTAGTGTGTTGCCTGGAGAACCGTCTTCTGAGGCTTCCATTTCCCACACCTGCTGACGTCAGACTTCTTGTCTGGGCTCCATTAGAAATAATTATCTCGTTCCTCTCCTCCTCCTCCTCCTCCTCTCTCTTGCTCCTTCCCCTTCCCCTCCTCCCCTCCCTCTTCCCATGTCCTCCCCTTCCTCTCCTTCGCCAGCTGTCGGGGCAGAGGTGGAGGGGATGACGATCCTGAGATCCTGACGGTCCCGTGCTTACACTGGCCCCCACTGCCCAGAGTCACTTCTCCATGCCTGTATTTCTAGCAGCTACACATGGTTCCTAAACTGTATCATCCAAAAGACAAGCTCCCTTTTATTGAAGGTTTGGAAGAGATTTCTCTGTCCTTAACTGCACCCGATGAAGGCTTGCACGTAGAGGTCACGGTGGGTGAAAAGACGCGTAACATGGAAGTTGCCTCCCGGGCTGAGGCACCACCAGAGCCCAGCTGAGAATGGCCGGATGCTCAGGCCCACGGGAAGGCCTGGCCCTGAAACCGGGTCCCTGAGCAGGCTCCTGGGGCAGCATCCCTGACCCCAGCATCCCCCCAGGGCCCACAGGCAAGGTAGCCTGGCAGCCACCTCAATGAAGGCACAGCTGGAGGCCCACAGATGGTGAGCCAATTGCCCGTGGGCAGGCACCACAGGCCTGGGATGGCCTGGACCTAAGAGGGCAGCCGATGCAGAGCGTGGGCCTGGAGATGCCTCACAGAGATGCTTGGCATCGGCAGATCCGAGCCCGATCCCACTAATGGGGCAGATGGGCCCTGAAGCCAGAGCTGGAGCCATCTGGACTGCCTGTGCCACCAGGGCCAAGGGGACACCTGGGCGCCTCCTTTGCTGCAGAGGCCTGGCCCCTCACGGACAGGTAGCCCACCTGGGGACCACGTGCCACCTCGAAGACCATCCCGGAGTGGGCTCCGTCCACGCAGAGGCCGGTCCAGTGCTCTGAGGTCGACCCCGAGCTCCACGGGACTGGGGAGCCCCCTAAGCCCAAGGGGGGGGAGGCAAGGGGCAGAGGGCAAGGGGCAGAGGGCAGAGTACAGGAGCGCAGGGGCAGCAGCTGGGAGACCAGGGACAGGGCAGCTGTAGGAAGAGGCCGGATCACAGGACAAAGCTATGGGGGCACATGGAATTGGCCTCGTTCAAAGTCTAATAACACGGTAGCACATATGCCCCCGAAAAGCCGATTGGGACACAACTGCCCTAGGTTTCCAGCCTCGGGTGGGGTGATGGTGAATCCTCCCATGAGAGACCCCGGGGAGCCTTGAAGGCTGGAGAAGCCGGGGACCCATTGGGACACAAGCCAGGAGGAGACAGGCTGCTGCCACATGAAAGCCGCCAGCTTAGAAGGAGCCTCGGAGTTGGGGCCCTCCCACCTGGAAGGCAATCAGGGTGGTGTGGGTGTGGATGGAGCCCCCAGGCACAGAGGGACCCGGCTTCCAGGGCACAGGAGAAGGGGCCCCTACCGTGCACACGCGAGCCACGCAGGTATGGGGATCCAGGGACCCAGGAGAGTGTGAGTGTGAGGAGCAGCCCCGGGGGTCCGATCCCCAGGCCCAGGCCAGCCAGCTGTGCCCGTGTCTCCCCCAGAGGTCACCCGGAGGGGCTGGGGTGGCCCGCGGGGTGCTTCCCAGCAAGAGACCCCTGGGAGGCTCGATGCTCAGGAACCTGGGACCCCCTCAGGCAGCAGCTGCAGGCAGGCTCGGCACCATTACAGGCTGTCACCCCACAAAGTGTTTGGGGGGGATCTTTTATTCCAGAGGCTGTGGGGTGATGGCAGCTCTCCCGCACCTCCGCGCGTCCGCAGGGCCTCAGCTGGCTGCCCGGGGCAGGGGCGCCCACGACGCAGGTGCTAGAGTGTGGGGTGGCGGCGCCCCCAGGCTCCAGGGTCCTGGCCCACACACTCTGCCCACTTGCAAGCCTGCACCTGCGCACACGGCTGTGCGTGTCCCTTTCAGCTGGAGCTGGAGGAGCCGGGACCGTGTGGCCAGGTGGGCCTGAGTCCACGACTGTGTTGTCTTTCTGTGAGAGACAACTGGCGCCTGGAGGTGGGGAGAAGGCAGGGACTTCCTTCCGCAGCCAGCGCAAATGGGCTGAGTGTCAGCAGATGAGAGCCACTGCTCAGAATCCTTGCTGGGCTTTGACCCCAACGACTCCCTGTCAAGGTAGGAGGCTCAGAGCAGGCTTCAGGGCCCCACTGCCACTGGGGGACTGGTGGGAGCGTGTGTGTGGGGACAGGATGTGGGGGGCCGCGTGGCCCGCAGCTTGGAACTCACCGCCTGGCTGGAGAAGCTGGGTCTCTGGGGTGGGTGGTCGGATGCCCCTTCCAACGACCTCCTGCATATTCTCCCGAAGGTGTGGCGGGGATGGGGGTGGGGGGTCAGGGCTGCTTTGCCAGGACACGGCCTGGTGGCTGCAGGAATAGCCCCCCAAGGACACACGTGGAGCCTTGATACCCGGGGAGCCCGGACCCACCAGGCAGCCTGTCCAGACGGGGGCTGAGCTTGGCCACTTGAAAGGTACATCTAAGGTCTGGGGGGGGGGCGGGCTCCCCACGGCCTGGAGGCTGTGTGTGTGGTTCCACCCCCACCCCAGCTCCCCAGGGCGGAGCTCAGCTCCTGAACATGCTCCAGCCACACACGTGGGAGCCTGGAGGGGCCTGTTCGCGAGTAGCCACTGGGGAAATGGCATCTGCCTATTTCCAAGGGCCGATCCACACAAATTCATCTCTGCCCCACGAAGGCAGAGTGGAGGGATCTCGAAGCCTTGCAAGGACTGGCTCCAGGGTGCTGACCATGGTATCCTCGGGGAGAGGCACCTGGGTCTCGTGTGCTGCAGAAACAGTGAGTCCATCTGGGGACCGACTTGCCCCCATTTCCCTGCTGCCTCAAAGGAATTTCAGGGGCGGGGGCTCCATGGTTGACGCAATGCATAGGTGGTGGGAGGTGGGCGCTGGCTCCTAGGGCAGTGACAGCGTGAGTGACGTGCCTGGGTGAGCCTCCCAGGTCAGGGGACCAGGAGCCTGGGACAGGGCCAGGCGGGCGGGGTCGGGACACAGGAGACACCTGTGTGGACCCCATCTAAGCCCGAACCTGCATGAAGGCACCTATCCCCCTCTGAGGTCTGCGGGGTTTCAGGGGCCGATGATGCTCAGGTTGCTGGTCTTTGCCATCCACGTCGCCTTGTTGTTGCGGTTGTTCCCGTGACACGTTTTGGTAAGGTTTCGACTGCAGTGTAGCCACCGTGCGGTGTAGTGACTCAGCACTTCCACGCACCCCCGCGGTGCTCCCGGGGGGGGGGGGGGGGGGGGGGCCTGCGTGCTTCATGCCCTGGACCTAGTGCACGCTCCCCCCTCCTCCCCCCGCTGACCAGAGTTCTCTACACCGAAGGGCCGTTTCCCGGATCGTTTCTCGTCTTTCCTTTGCTTGTTTTGTTTCTCGAATTCCACACACGAGTGAGAGCACGTGCATTTCTCTTCCTCTGACCTACTTCACTTAGGACGGTACCTGCTGGGTCCGTTCACGTTGTCGCAAATGGCAAGATCTCACCCCTTCTGAGGGCTAATGTTCCCGCGCGTATGCCCACCACCTCTTCTTTATCCATCCGTCTGTCCAGACACCCGAGCTGCTTTTCCACATCTTGGTTATTGCAGGTAGCGCTGCAAAACACTGGGCCGCGTGTATCCCTTTCAATGATCGATTTTGTGTTCTTTGGGTAAATGCCCAGTAATGTGATTACTGGATTCTGGGGCAGCTCTGTTGTTGACTTTCTGAGGCACCTCCACACTGTTTCCCAGAGTGGCTGCACCAGCTCGCATTCCCGCCAGCAGTGCCCGAGGGCTCCCCTTTCTCCGCCTCCTCTCCGACACCTGTTGTTTCCTGAGCCGTGGATTCTGGCCATCCTGACAGGTGTGAGGTGATACTGTGGTTTTGCTTCGAATTTCCCTGGTGGTGAGCATCTTCTTCAACAGACACATGCCTGTTGGCCATCCACGTGTCTTTTTTCGACAAATGTCTGTTCATGTCTTCTGCCCATTTTTAAATTAGATTATTTGTTTTTTGGGGTATCGAGTTGTATCAGTTATTTTTTGGATGCTAGCCCTTTATCAGATATGTGCTTTCCGAATATCTTCTCCCATTCCTCGGTTGTCTTTTAATTTCGTTGACTATTTCCTTCACTGTGCAGAACTTTTTATTTTGATGAAGTCCCAATAGTTCATTTTTGCTTTTGTTTCCCTTGCCTCAGGAGACGCCTCTAGAAGGACGTTGCTACAGCCAGTGTCAGAGAAGTGTCAGCCTGTGTCCTCTTCTAGGATTTTTATTTATTTATTTATTTATGATAGTCACAGAGAGAGAGAGAGAGAGAGGCAGAGACACAGGCAGAGGGAGAAGCAGGCTCCACGCACCGGGAGCCCGACGTGGGATTCGATCCCGGGTCTCCAGGATCGCGCCCTGGGCCAAAGGCAGGTGCCAAACCGCTGCGCCACCCAGGGATCCCCTCTCTTCTAGGATTTTGATGGATTCCTGTCTCATATTTAGATCTTTGATCCATTTTGAATTTACTTTTGTGTGTGGTGTAAGGGAGTGGTCCAGTTTCATTCTTCTGCATGTCCAGTTTCCCCAGCACCATTTGTGGGAGAGATTGTGCTTTTCTCATAGGATATTCTTTCCTGCTTTGTTGAAGATGAGTTCTCTATTCTGTTCCATTGATCTCTGTGTCTGTTTCTGTGCCAATACCATAGTGTTTTGATCACTACAGCTTTGTAATATAACTTGAAGTCTGGAATTGTGATGCCACCAGCTTTGGCTTTCTTTTTCAACATCCCTTTGGCTATTGAAGGTCTTTCCTGGTTCCACACAAATTTTGGGATTGATTGTTCTACCTCTGTGAAAAATGCTGTTGGTATTTTGATAGGGGTTGCATTGAATGTGTGGATGGTCTTGGGTAGTAGAGGCATTTCAAGAATATTTGTTCTTAAAAAAAAAGAATATTTGTTCTTCAACTCATGAGCACGGAAGGCCTTTCCATTTGCTTATCTTGAATTCCTTTCATCAGCGCTTTCTGGTTCTCAGAATACAGGTCTTTCACTCTTTGGTTAAGTTTATTTATTTTTTTTATAATTTTTTTAACTTTATTTATGATAGTCACAGAGAGAGAGAGAGAGAGAGGCAGAGACACAGGCAGAGGGAGAAGCAGGCTCCACGCACCGGGAGCCCGACGTGGGATTCGATCCCGGGTCTCCAGGGTCGCGCCCTGGGCCAAAGGCAGGCGCCAAACCGCTGCGCCACCCAGGGATCCCTATTTTAGATGTTTTATTGTGTTTGGTGCAATTGTAGATGGTATTGTTTTAATTTCATGTTCTGCTGCTTCATTGTTGGTATATAGGAAAGCAACAGGGTTCTGTATATTTATTTTGTATCCCGCAACTTTCCTGGATGCATGCGTCAGTTCTAATAGTTTTTTGGTGGAGTCTAGGGTGTCCCCGTTCTATCAAAGTCTGGACATAGTGTCCGCAGATCAAGGGTTAATGATCTAATCATGACTGTTGGTCTGCAAGCTCCTGGGAGCTTCCCAGATGTAATGTGAACCCGGCCGCTGCTCTGAGGACAGGGAGAGAGCAAAGAAACAGACAGGCCCCTCCAGATTGGTCGGTGGCAGTCTGGAGAAGCCAGGGAGCTCACAGACGTGGCTTGTCTTGGGCAGCAGCGAGAGGGGTAGATCTCCACACTCCCTGCCACCTCTTAGGGGTTTGCGCAGAGCCCGGAACTGGGCTCAGTCACGTCTACCGTCCAGAGGGTCTCAACACCACATCACTGTCTTAGGGCCACATCCTTGGAGCAGCCACTGGGAGTGGGGAGGGCAAGGAAACCCACATTCCAAGGACAGGGGAGAGGTGGGGAGCCTCTGATTGCCTGGGTCCGGGTCACGGCCTCTCTGACCTTTCCCAGCACCTACCCCTCGTGCCTGGCTCTTACAACCTCACGTGGAACCTCTGCTCTGCAGTGGCCCTGAGGGGCCAGGAAGGGCTTTCACGAGCACGGAGATGCCTCCTGTGGCGCTGTCCTGCTGTGTTGCAGGCAGAGGCCGCAGCAGTGATACAGGCGCATCCAGGAGAAAGCACAGAGAAGACAGCAATTCCCCAAATGAGCAACGACTTTCCCACCAAGAGGCCCATGATCCCAACCACTGATTTATGGGATCACTCAGGGCACTCCCTGCTCCTCATGAGGTCTGAGAAACACGATACAGTAGCAGGCTCTGTCAGGCGCAAACCTGCAAGATTCTGCTTGGATAATGACACCGGTGCCTCCTTGCGAGGCAGCGGTGATGTCCACGGCCATTCGATTTGGGGGGATGGCGGTTCTCATTAGAGATGCTTGGGTGTTCAGTAAAGACAGACTTTCTGGCCACCCCTCAAGGCTCACTGAATCAATTCAGTCAGGGCCGTCTGTGCTGCAGAGTCTGCAGACCGATGGAGTAAACGACGACAGCATCCAGGTGATCCTGCCGGCAAAGACAGAGTGTGTTCATCCGGCCTTCAGCAGAGGGGGCTTGTCAACTGTTGTGCCCATGGGGCAGATTCTCCCCTGTGCCTAGGGGAACCCCAGGGTGCAGCGGCCCAACCACCCAGGTGGGAGCCATGACCAAAGATTTGTGCACAAAACCGTGGAGGCCCATTAGGGGCTGCCCTCTAAATAACCCGGGTGATGGGACCAGTCAGTGCCAATCAGTCACTCTCCCTTCACCTGACAGGGTCGCTACAGTCCCAGGGGTGCCCATCCCACATCCCACAATTGTCTGGTACAATTGGGTGGCTTCTGTTTAGAGTGACTTTTCTGTTCCCAACATAGGGGTGACTGGGTGTGCTGATGTCTCTAACCCAGAGGAAGCTGCATAAATCCATTCCAATTCTGAGCATAGCCAATCATGACTCTGATGGAAGACTTTCTGGAACCTTCCAGTGAGCAATCTGTTGGGCTGCCTTCATAGTTTGTTTGACAGGAAAACAATACGCGTACCAGTGTTATGGACACGCTATTGGTCATGTTAGATGACCAGGGTGCTAGTCCTCCCTGTTCTTGCTTAATGCCCTCCAGCCTCTCCCCGGAGGGGTAATACCCACCAGGACTCCCACCCTCTCCCCTCTTCTGACCGTGTGCGTTCC